GCCTCAAATTCGCTCATGCATTCCTGTGGTAGATAACTTAGTCTTTACTCTAGGACCTCTTTCAAAACAGACGCTATGTTGCTACTCTATTGCTATGTAGTTTATACGTTGTTTGCCTTAGTTCAGACTTCCTTCAAACTGTCCTCTGAGCATCAAATTTTTTAAGACATTTTTCCACATTATGTGAAATTTCAACTGTCTCTTATTGATGTTATATATGTGTCGTTTGTTTTTTCTTCCAATTTTCTGTAAAGCTTCGTTATTGCTCATATGTTCGATCTATGTTAGTTTCAGTAACCTTCTGTAGGATCACATTTTTGTTGCTTCATGTCTCTTCCTCATATGGCGAGGAGACTGTCCAGCATTCAATAGCATTCATGAGGACTGATATTAAATAACAGTTCAGTGTCATTTACTGCGTTTCTATTTATTAATATTCTTTTGGAAGCCATCTTTCGCTATCCCAGTGCACCTTTAGATTTCAGTGATGTACCTTCCGTCTTCTGTTAAAACACTTCCAAGATATTTAAACTTTTGTACTTGCGTGGTTGATTATCTCTAATTTGTAATGTTGCAAGGTGGGTTGCTCTTTTTAGTACTTTTTCTCATTTTCCTTCACTAGATTCTGTAGTAGTTATTGTAGTTACCTTTCTGTGTTTGTTATGGAGACTGTATTATCTGCATATCTAATGCTGTTAAGATTGACGCCGCCAATAATGGATCCTGGTAGAACTTCTAATTCTTTTATAATCCCTTCACTATATAGATTACTGTACATTGGACAGAGTCTACCGTAACTTTAAACATAATAACCCCAAAAAAAGAGACGAAGGATTTTCGGACATACGTTTATATAGGTTTTTTCATTATTCAATGTTTGATAAAAAATATTCTTGATACGCCCTGTATATTTAGTATTAAAATATGCTATATTCATGTTAAATCTCCTTAATACCATAGATAGAACGTATGTAAATATACAAGTGGACACTGCGGTCAACACCAAGCGGCGACAGTATGTTTTATGCTTCACCGCAATCTTCGGTCAATCTTCTTCGATTAAACTAATATTTATATATATATATATATATATATATATATATATATATATATATATATATATATATATATATATCATTCATGAGACAGCACTGCTTCGCTGTATCACAGCTCCTCAGTGCGACTAGACGTCCGAAAGCCTCAAGCCAGGATCGAAACCGACCGATTGGTGTCAGTCGGAGTTTCTGCCCTTAAGCCATCAGTACTCAGCAGAGAGAACTTCTAATTCTAGCGTATTGTTTTTACGAATGTAAACTCACGGCAGTCAGCCAGAGTGCTCCTATTCATTTTACCGAAGAGTTTTGCGTTTTAGCGTAGACGGCTGCTGTTTTTAGAATTAGGCTGTCTCTGAAGAATACTCAACTGAAATATATTTTGAAGAGAATATTATATCAGAAGTTATTTTGTATATTCCTTTATGCGAATATATATATATATATATATATATATATATATATATATATATATTCCACCGTCTCTAAAGAGTGCTTCATTGAAATATATTTGCAATAGCGTATTATATCAGAAGTTATTTGTATATTCTTTTATGCAAAAATAAATATATTCCCACCGTCTTATAAGTTTTCAAGTTTCTATATGATCTTGTACTATTGACTTTCCTCACCCATCATTCTTGTAGCTGACCAAATCATTCTATCCATAAACAGCAAACACCTATATTCAATATATTACTCTCTCTCGCCCTGTTTTCGTATGCATCTATTTCACCATATATTGTCTTGTCCTTCCATCTATCTAGTATCACCCTTTCAATATCAATCTAACATTCAATATATGCGTTTGCTTTCGTTGACAAAGCCTTGATTTAGTTCTCCCAATAAACAAACATTAACATCTTTACTAGTCGAAATGCCTGTAAGTATCACAGGTTTTTTTTTTCTGTGTTCAGTATCTTTCGACATTTTTATGACCGGCCTTCTGATGTCTTATTAAATCTCCTGTCTCCAAAAAAGTCTTAATGGATAAGTTTACTTATTGGTAGAAACGAACTATAGCATTTTTTGCAATTTATATTAGATTTTGTTTTATACGTTTCATGGCTTAGTTGAAAATTATACGTTTCTGTTCGTTGTTTGCTCTTTGAGTTAATTCCCCAGTATTGTCCTTCTTTCACTAGGCTTCTTTTTTTTATTTGCTTTTATTTTGCCGTTATCTCCATATAATTATTATCTTTTTATTATGAACGTTTTTTTGTAAATAGTATATCTGCAATATCCTTTTTAGCACTTTCCTTTGTTTGTTTTTTCTTTTCTTGTTGCCTTATATTTCTTTATATCTTTTTTCTGTTATTTTGATAGTCTTTGTTTAATCTTGGTTTTGAATTTTCCATTTTATTCGGCCCTGTGTACCGGATTTTATTTTAAGTATGCCATAGATATATTTTTAACGAACATAATTTGTTTGACATTTTTTTATTATTTCATTCAACTATTTTACCTTTTCGTAAAAGAAAAACGCACTATAAATTTGTCTCTCTCGGATCCCCGTTAATGTCAGGCTGTTTGATATTTTCTTCCCGATTTTCATTCTTCCTATTTTTCACTATATCTCCCATGATACATTTTTCACTCTCCTTCTGTTCTTACTCTCCTTCTGTTCTTACTCTCCTTCTGTTCTTACTCTCCTTCTTTCCTTATTCTCTTTCATTAATTACTCTCTTTTTCTTCTTACTTTCTTTTTTTTCTTACTCTCTTTCATACATTACTCTCATTTTTTACTCTCTTTCGTTTATTACTCTCTTTCATTTAGCACCCTTTTTATTTTCTTACTCTCTTTTTCTTCTTACTATCTTTTTCTTCTTACTCTCTTTTCTTACTCTCTCTCTTTTCTTATTCTGTTTCTTACTCTCTTTCTCTGCTTACTAACTTTCTTTTCTTACTCTCTTTCATTAATTACTCTGTTTCATTAATTACTCTCTTTCGTTTATTACTCTCTTTTTCTTCTTACTAGCTTTCTTTTCTTACTCTCTTTCATTTATTACTCTCTTTCATTTATTACTCTCTTTGCTGACAGTTTTGATTTTCTTTCAGCGACTTTTGGGCTCTTTCATTTCTTAGCTCTCATTTTGCCTTCTTTTCCATCACTTTCTTCTTTCTGACTGACCCTTGCAGTCTTCTCCTAACCCTTGCCATTTCTAAGTTATTCATGACATTAATCTATATTTGTATACTCCGTCTGTTCCTTGACATATATGTGACATTTTATTTTTCTGTATCTACACGCCCATTTCATTTTTAGTGATTTGCTCATTCTTACCAAGAGTCCACGACATTCATTTCATCTTTCCACCTATTTCCTTCCTTTTTACCAAATATAATTATTTCTATTTCTCTTAGTCTCTTTCTACCTACCTACTCTCTTTATTTCAAACGATTTCTTTTTCTCCAAAGTCTATTTCTTTCCACATTCAACTTCTTTTTACTGACTATAATAACTGTTTCCTTTTCACTTTTTAACTTACAATTCCTTTTATTTTCCGGCTAATCAGGTTTTTACCAAATCATTCATTTCTCTCTCGCAATATAAATGTTATGTTCCTTTTGACATTACAAGAGCCTCACACTTATTCTTTCATTTCTTTTTCAAACTTGAAATTTTCTTTTTTCATCTTTCATCGACACATTTCCAAATTTATCGCCTTTCCTTTTCAAATATATTATTAAACTGAACATCTCTAATAAAACATGTGACACCTTCTTAAGTAAATAAACAGATAAAAGGCGTAAATTTTTAAATAACCTTTTCAAAAGAATCAAGGCGATAAAGACTCTAAGTGGTAATATGTTAGTGTGAGAGAAGGAAATTGAGAAAACTTTGCTAAAAAGGAAAACCATAAAAATATCAATATTTAAGAGACAGATGAGGATTGATATTGCATTTGAATTCTTAAGAGTTGTGGTTGACAAGAAAGGAAGAATGTGGAAAAGTATTCCATAGACAAGTTTATTAAAATAGAACTCTCGATTAGACTCTAATCTCACGTGTCCTAACTAGGAATAGGCTTAATGTTCTGTTGCAATAATAGCCACTAAATTATATTGTTGTTATTTTTCATTTACTTACGCCTACTTAATTAAGTAGCACATTATTGTAGAGCCGTAACTGAAAGTGTTACAGTACAGTTTATCGTTGAATCCATTATTTTTGTAAAACTTTTAATAGGTGCCTGTATTTCTGAGATGAGGTATTGTAACTATTTGCACTATTGACATCCTTCGGACTCTTGTCCTCATCTTTACCATATTCGCTGTCCCATATTTACGACATTTCGGTCGTTGTAAGCTCCGATCTTCTTCAGATGATATACGTTTGAATATCGAACCGTTTTAGTCCACGGGGCTAGACTGTACTAGTGCCATGTCATTTTGTTTTTAGTAACTCAACGCTTTGTTGTTCCTTTTCTGTTGAACCTACAACTCTTTGCGTCAAGTTACTGTTCGGATTACTTAATCAACGCTTTTATCTACAGGGGATATTCGTGAGTGAATTTTTGGGACTTATATACGTAATATCCCAGTAACGATTATTTTACCAGAGCTCATATTACAATTTCTTGTTATTTTCGCTATCTCCCTTTACTCTTGGTTCCCATATTCACATATATGCCACTGTAATGATGGACAAAAGAGAATATACATGAAAACTCAAAAACATCATTAGAAATGATAGCTATAGTAAAGAAAGATCCTGCAATGAAAATAGAAAGAAAACAGTCGCAGATCCTAATGAATAACCAGGATCGCTTCCCACCCTAGACATACAGCATTTGTCACAACATTATAGCAAGATATCTCGCATATATTAACTGATATTGAGATATAAAAAAAAGGCATGGAACCTGGAATTAGAACTATCTACCAATAACTCAATAAAGAGGTCTGTTCAAAATTCCGACGTATATCATCTGAAGAAGTCCGGAGCGTACAATGACCGAAACGCCGTGAATATGGCAACAAAGATGAGGAGAAATGTCCGAATGATGTAGATAGAAATTTCTTATCTCTGGACATAGTGCACGTACCAAAGGTACGTCTTGAATTAATGACAACTAATCAAAATAAAATCTATCACTCAATTATCTTGCAAATTATGATTAGCGCTATATAATTAAGAGCCGTTAAATAAGATAATGTGATATTTAACCTGGCTACATCATTAATAACCTATATGTACTATGAAATGATGATGACATATTAGAAATGCCCGTGAATTTTATAAACATATACTAAAGAACAAAATTATATCAGTGTATTTATTTTTTTTCTTTCTAAATTAAAAGGCATCCTATTCGACTTCATTGAAAATGTAATGAAATGAAATTATAAACTGTTATATATCGTACCTATGAAGACAAATGGCTATGTCCCAATATTCATAAATACGTTGGACACTATTGTAAGTGGGGGTTAATGTGCTGCCTACGTAGTCCACTACTTGCAGTGGTTTACCTACTTCACGCTGCTGGCGAGTACTGCATTCTGTTGATGTTATAAAGATTGCCACTTAATTTCCAACCCCCGATTTGGTTATTCCTCATTCAGTAACATTTCCTAGGTTACAACACTATCTATCTATCTATCTATCTATCTATCTATCTATCTATCTATCTATCTATTATATACCGTACCTATGAACAATAATGGGTATGTCCCAATCTTCATAAATACGTTGGACACTATTGTAAGTTGGGGTAATATGCTGTCAAAGTAGTCCACCACTAGCAGTGGTTTACCTACTTTACGCAGCTGGCGAGTATTTATTTTGTTGATGTTATAAAAATCGCCATTTCATTCCCCACCTCGGTTTTGGCTATTTTTTTTTTTCAGTAAAGTTTTCTAGTTTACAACATAAACAACAAATTAGAATTCAGTGTAGTTACTTAAAATATACATTCCTAATGTCATAAAAACAAAGCTGAACGAAGGTTTTGGTGAAGTTCATATTTTATACACATGTATACATTTAGTGGATGACTGAAAGTTGAAGCTATTTGTAAATGAAAATCAAGGAAAACGATATGTTCGATCTCTGTAAACACTTGTACATTTTTTGTCGAAAAGTCTAGACATATATTACTCCCTGTTTCGAACGTACTTGAGATGGACACATCAATTGATTTAACAATGAAGCAACGAATTATACGTCACTTCAAAATGTCATTTTGATGGTCATCCGTATAATTCTCTTTGAAAGCGTGTTGGAACATATTTTAGAGCAAATCGAATTCGCTGATTCTTAATGGAATCACTGACTAAACCGTTTATTCTTGTCTGTGAGCATGTCATCAGTAAAGAAACGGTTCTCGTTATGCAATGTATATTATAATCATGGCTCCAAAATTATGTTCATTAACACTGATTGATCATTATGAAAAGAATATAATCATTGATTACGTAATAAATACTTTCATTTACGCTCTCAGGATCAAAATTCTCACTCACTTCGATCCAAATGTATCAACCCACGAGGGTAAACTGCGTTCACTTTGACCAAAATACTATTGGAAAATGTATGAATTTATTTCTTCTGCTTCTATCTACAAGCGAAATATCCCTACTGACTGATATCAGTAAACACTGTTTAAAATAGACTGGAAATTTTGAATCTCTGAATTAAAATCTGAGAAGAACACTTTGAATACTTTGTGGGGAATGTGTGCAACATTTTTGTGTTGCCAATTCTCTCGAAAGGTTTGGCTGATTCTACGGAAGACTTTACCAGTACGATAAAATATTACGTGAGGATGGACTGAGGGCCTAATACAAATGCTGAACTTTGCGCTAAAATCAACAGGAGGGTCTACGTCCTTCATTTACATTATAAGTTTATGGCGGTTGTTTACTCAGTTTCAGTGATAACAATCGCTGCACAACTTAACATCTGCTAAGTCTACATCGTCATTAGTATTGTAATGGCGCCTAAAACATGAAAATCTTCTCAAATAACCTTTACATTGCTGAGAAAGATATTTATTTTGGAAATTGTTTGAACAATGGTTATTAGGTGTCGTGATTTTAATAACAATACTTTGTACACAAGTTTATACACAAAACTAATGAAAATCATTAAATCTAAGAGAGAAATAAATAAACCGAATACTAATCAGAAAATATATAGACGAAGATTTTAATTTTATCGTACATGTAAGTAGGAGATTTAATGGCGTAAGTGGGAGGAAAGACATGTTATTGCTTGGAAAAGGGAAGGAAATACATGATTGTCTCGTTATTTATAAGAATAGTAAAGATCGTTGATTTTGCCATATGAAACTCAGTAGGAAGACACTATCATCAACAATTCTTTGTCTGTTGACTTTTTTTATCCTTTACCAGTATCAATGCTAGCTTTCTTTGAAGCCATGGCTGGCGACTAATAAAGAGAAAAAAAGGCAGATACAATAAAATTAGAAAAGTAAAGCAACACGGCGGGCGAATAAGAAATGATTCCGTTCTGGTTAACACGGTTCGACTTTATTGTTCGACAACCGAAATATTTTTGGTAAGCGAGGCATTTTCTTCTAGATTATTCTGTTCGAAAACCGATTTGTTGGACATGTGACAATTTCGAGAACAGATTTTTAAATTCCGTGATAACAACATTGCAAATTTGTCTTTTCATATTTTCTTATTTTTAAATATGTGTTTTGGACAAGTCAATATTAAAGCTTTACTTAAGATATATACATATACATCAGGACAATCTATATAAGAACTAATTAAAGTGATATATCTCTATTATTTATAATAATATTCACAAAACATCTGGAAAAAAGATTTGTAAATATAAGACATTTGAATATATATATATATATATATATATATATATATATATATATATATATATATAAACAATGTTAACAGATCTGTTGTTATAAAATACAAGTAGATCCTAGTAATATAAAATATTAAAACCGATCCCAAAAAAAGTGCTCAGTATATTTATTCTTACAAGGCAAATAATTAATAAACAATAAAATCCAAAATCACCTCATATGGGGAATAGTCTATTTCGGAAGACGAAGATATCGATCCTCTGTCTTATCAACTCCCGTGTGGACTGAGTTCGTGTCAGATATGGAAATTTAACTGTGAAAGCTATAAAAAAAATAATACTGTCGAAAACTAATACAGAATTTATACATTTCAATTTTTCAGTCAGACGTAAGGCGGGGGACAGTAATCAGAGGATCGTGGAAAATGTGTGTCTTAAAGGAAGGAAGTTTTATAAAATTAAACTCTTATGATATTAATTTGAGCTCATATGAAGAAAGAAATATTCATTTAAAACTCAAACAGGAAAAAAAGAAGTGTTTAAAAATAAAAAAAAATGGGGAGATGTTAGACCAGGCAGAAATTTTTTTGGCATATAATAAAAATAAAGAATGTAGAGTTGGGATAATTAATGCCATATATATATATATATATATATATATATATATATATATATATATATATATATATATATGATTGTGTGTGTGCGTAGATTTCAAATGAAATAATGACTTTTTATTTTTTTAGTCCGAAAGATTTTAGCATTTTAAACTTTATTTTACTGGATACTTTAGTCGGATTTCATTTAAAGGGAATATTCAGCCTGATTTGATCGCCAAAAGTTCTTCTTAGTTAAGGGTGGGGGTTAAAGCGTATCTGATCTATTGATGATTCCCTCTACCCAATGGGAAACAATTTGAGAGCGGATATTTGTCTCTAATTTCTTGAATTATTATTTTCTTCTGATTCCATAGAATGTTGTTACTTCATTCAAAAATGCTTGAAATCAACTAATAATAACTTATCTTTCTCTCTCTCTGTATATATATATATATATATATATATATATATATATATATATGTGTGTGTGTGTGTGTGTGTGTGTGTGTGTGTATAAATATAACCATATATATATATATATATATATATATATATATATAAAATTTTTACATATGGACAAAACAACTTACTCACTACAAAATGCATACTTGTTTCCATGCGGCTAATCTCGCCTGGCGATATCCAAAACTTTTGAGTTCTCAACAGTCGAAATGCAGCCACATCGAAACAAGAATGCATTTTTGTAGTGAGTATGTTGTTTTTGTCCGTATGTATAAATTATAATAATAAAGTATTGCTCTACTCTTGGTATCGAGCTCTCCTTTTAATTAATGTTGTGAACTTTAGAAATTATATTATTTTCGTTCTTATTATATATATATATATATATATATATATATATATATATATATATATATATATATATATGATTTTTTAGTATATATGGTATTACCTGTTTATAATGAAACACATTATATTTTGCCTTAACAAAACAGATCGGAAAAAAATTCGCACTTTACTTTAAGTGCTTGTAACACCCGTGCATCATACCCTGCTAAAATGTATTTTCTGTTTAATATGAATCAGCCAATTTATCTGAGAGAATGAATCATAATAACGTGAAATATTATCATTGGCATATACGGCCCGATGCGATGAAATCTTATCTTTTACTATATATTCAAATACATTTGTAATAATTTAATGAGTTATCCGTAAACCAATCAGTATTTGATTCTGATTCTATCGGAATTATGTAAATAACATCACAGATATTGGGTCCTTTGCTGTTAGCGCTGTCATATGATATTCGAATGCAGGATGCAACAGGTTGCAATTTCAAACCAACATAATAATAAACAGATTATCATTATTTTCAAGCATGTTTAAATTTAAATGTACACGGAAATGTTTTTCTTATTCTCGTTGTTTTCTTTTTCTGTTTCATTTCTCTTCCAGGTCGTTCTTTCTTTCTTGTTCCTTTCTCCTTCTTGTTCTCTCATTCTTTTCCTTCCCTCTTTCTTTTACTTCTCCCTTTCCTGTTCTTCTCTTTCTTGTTCTTCAGTCTTTCTTTTAATTCTCTCTTTCCTGTACTTTTCGGTTTCTTGTTCTTTTCTCTTACGTCTTCGTTTCTCTTTTTCTTGTCCTCTTCTGTTTTTGTTCTTTTATCGTTCTCGTTCCTCTATATTTCCTGTTCCTATCATTTTCTTGATCTTTCTTACATCATGCTTATTTTCTTTCTTTCTTGTTCTTCTGTCTTGTTTGTTCTCTCTTTCTTTTTTCGCTCTTTCTTTTACTTCTCTCGTATTTGTTCTCTCTTTCCTCTTCTTCTTCTCTATTTTCTTGTTCTTTTCTCTTATTATTCTTCCTTCCTTTATTTTTCTTCTTCCTTTTTATTTTCTCTTTTTTGTTCTTTTGTCTTCCTTGTTCTTTTCTTTTTTTGTTCATTTATCTTTCTTGTTCTTTTCCCTTTTATGTAATTCTCGCTTTCTTGTTCTTTTATGTTTCTTTTTCTCTCATTCTTTTGTTTCTCTTTCTTGTTTTCCACCATATCTTGTACTTCACTCTTCTTTAGTCATTTCCGCTTCTTGTTTTTCTCTCTTTCTTGCCCTTCTCTTTCTCGTTCTTCTTTCTTGTTCTTTTCTCTACATTGTTCCTTGTGTTTTTCTTTTCTTTTTGTCCCTTCTCTTTCTTCTTACTTTCCCTTGTTCTTTTCTCTTTCTTCTTACTCTCTCTCTTCTTTTTTCCTCTATTGTTTTTGTTCTTTTCTCTTTGTTATTCTCTATTTTATTTTGTTTTGTTTTCCTTGTCCTTTTCTCTTTTTGTTCCTTTATCTTTTTTTTGTCTTTCTCTCCTCCTTTTTCTTTTCGCTTTCATGTCCTCCTTTTTTCTTGTTCTTTTCTCTTTCTTTTTATCTCATTCTTGAAAATTTATATTTCTTTTATCCATCTATTTCATTTCTCATTCTTATTCATCTCGCTTCCTTGTTCTTCTCTCTCTTTTCTTCTTCTCTCTCTTCTGTTCTTTTCTCTCTCTTATTCTTTTCCCTCTTTTCTTCTATTCTCTTCATTTTTCCTTTCTCTTCATTTCTTTTCTCTTTTTGTTACTTTATCTGTTTATTCTTTTTCACTTTCTTGTTCTTCTCTCTTTTTCTTCTCTCTTGTTTCTCCTCTCTCTTTCTTGTTTCTCCTTTTCCTTATTTTTCTTGTTTCTTTATCTTTCTTTTTACTTCCCCTTACTTGTTCTTATCGCTTTCTTTTATTTTCATTTTCTTGTTCGTCTTCTAATCCCTAGAGAAGATGTAGGTGATGTAGACGTTAACGATTCCTTCAAAAATGACAAGAACTTTTACTTTGTTAAAGAAAGCAGCTGAACGACTCTCTGGTAAAATAGCGTTTGACATAAATATGCAGATATGCGTTTGTCACTGTATGGCGTCAGTTGAAATTAAATGCAACTATGGAAACTCGTCGACGTTTTCTAATTCTTCACAAAGACAGAAACATCGATGTTAGCACATTTAGACGAGAGTTCAGCAGTCGTAACAATGTGTTTAAAAATGTTCATCCATAGCTATTTAACGGCAAACATACAAATCCAATGCTGATGGATATGTTGGTGAAAATAGTACTCTGGCTTTTGGAACGTGTTTTTTTTTATTCAAAAGTGTTATTGTTTCCATATTTATGTTATTTCTCTTTTGGAAAATATATTTTAAAATAATTATATAAGTATGAATGGACTAAATTTACAACCATATAACAGGCATAAAATTTTTAAATTTAAAAAAATAAAAATCAAAAAAATGATTTTATTTTTCATTTCTGGAGAATATAAATGATCAGATGTAGGTGAATACATAATGTATAATTTGGGGTTTTATTTAGAAATTGAATCTAAATAATATTCTGCATTGTCTAAATTTGGCGATATTCAAACTCGATTTCACACGTTTTCTTCCTATATTTTCACTTTTAATTAGTTCCTTTCTTCATTTCCTATTAATATGTTTTCAAAATGGAACAAATAAATTATCATTCTTTTTATGAAAATTTTCATACTTTTACCATACCTGTACCATATTTTAACCTTTCTTCTACATTCCTAACCAAGAAAAAAATTTGAAAGATGTCCTTCCAGTATTCTCACAAAATTTTAAATTTAGGATTTGACAAAAATTTTAACTTTCTTCCATTGTTCCAACTTTCTCCCCCTTCTCTTCAATTCTTTGAATAAAATTCCTTTCAATTCTCTAAAAACTTTTTGAAAAATTTCATGTCCATCCTTCCATTTTGTTGAATGAAGATCGTTTCATTCTCCCAACATGTTTATTTTCTTAAATCATTTTTTCCATTCCTTTCCTCTTTTTTGTTGTTCAATAAATTAATTTTTTAAAAAAAATTTGTTTTGTTTTATTTAATTTTCATGTATGAATAATTTTTATCATCATAACCTAATTGGTTCATTAAACTTCTTAGTTTTAAAAATCTTCTATCAATCTATGATAAAGATGTCTTTAAAATCTTTTCTTTTCTTTTGACTGATTAAAAATGTGATGAAAAAAAAAAAAAAAATCAAATGCTCTCAGAGAATTTTTCAGTTAAATGCAAATACGTAAGAATTTTAAATTAACGTGTAAATTCTATCTAATTCAAAATAAATCAACATGAATATTCAATTAAAAAATATTAAAATTTAATTGACAAACGAAACAAAAAACGCAACATTTGTAATATTTTTATTTTGACAAATGATTAAATTTTGGTAAATTTTCAATAAAAAAAAACTCCTATAACAAACTTATAATTGTAACAAATTTTGAAGAAAGCTGAAATTGCCTCCTAGAACCACATGTTTATAAAAAGCACGCCATACAGTGAATGGTTCATATGGATGATAAAAAGAAATTTTGGTTTTAGAAAATGATTATTATAATCAGATGTTCTTAGAATGTTATTTTAAATTTGGTATTTTCCTAACTCTCTGGCAAAATCTCTTGTTCTTGCTCATTAAAAAATCTCTGTCTAAAAAAAGGATTAAACTATTTAACATTGATTTGAAACATCATCAACAAAAGTTAAATCAATAAATTTTGCCTCAGAAAATAAATCTCTTTAAAGAACAATGATAACACAATGAAGAGAATTTGAGAGAATGGAACCTGTTTTATATTAAATACTAAAACCATTACTATTGTCCTTCTTGTCTTTGTCGGCATGTTATTTACGACGTTTCAAAGAATTGTTATCAGCCTTCTTCAAGTGAATGGAATCAATCAATGAAGTATTTATTTAGTTGAAGATTTTGCTCTGGTTTTTTTTTCTTTTTTTTTTGTTGTTTTTTTTTTTAAAACCAAAGATTCCCTTTCCAAGTTTGAAACCGTCTTAACCATTAAATTTCAAATCAAAAACAATTGGGTCCTTTTTGCATTTTTTTTCTTGCACAAAGAACTTTATCCAATGTGCTATGTGTCCTTTTTTTATTTTTTAAGATGAATTTCATTCTTGATAAAAAAATATTGTAATTCTTTAAAAACGCTTTACCAATATAAAAAATGTAACATATATATATATATATATAACAATATATATATATATATATATATATATATATATTGGCCATGATAAATCAAGTTAAACAATTTAAAAAAAATTGGCAAATATAGAAAAGTTGCAAGTAGGTGAATTATTCCTCTAATCTCATGAATATTCAACTATAACAAAATATTAAATTAAAATTGCAATTGTTTTGCATATCACTTCCATCCTAAAAATTTCTTTCCACAGATGTTCAGGGTAACTTTTTTTTAAACTCCATGAATATTCACAGAATTTATTCAAAGTTTCTGAAATTTTCTGTCATTACCCATTTAAACAAAGAATACAAAAATGGATTTTGCCAAATCTTTTTTGGCAATGACCAAATGTTAGGATATGTTTCCTTTAATAGTTAAATTCTACTAAAAACATTTACAGATTTAAAATTCCAAAACAGAAACAATAAAAATGCAAAAAATTAAATTTCACCAAACTTATTAATTTTGTGACGAATAACAACATCATAAACCAACAAATGAAAAAAATTAAGAAAATCATTAATTTGTTGAACAAAAAATTTTTTAATCTAAAAATTAACTTTGTTGCTGGTTGATTTTTTTACATATAACTTTCAAGTAATGAAATTATATTTAAGTAGGCCAAATGATATGTTGGGTTTAATGAAACGAAAAATGAAATTATTTTTTTTTTTTTTCTTTTTTGACTTGTGAGAGGTCATGATTTTCATTAAAAAATTTCAAATGTTTTAGTAAAAACTTTCATCCATGAACTGGAACATTGACCTTCCAGCCAACATCAAATTGGGATCGGTCAGGAAATTCCCTTTTGGCTTTAGATGACAAATTTATCATCATCTTTAGATGTCCAGTTCTCAGATGGTGAGAATTTCTTTCACCATTAAGTAATTTCAAAAATCCATTTCTGATTATGAAAAATTATTTAAAAAAAAATCCTTTTCAATCCATTTTTTCTTGAAAAAGAAATTTCGATTTTTTACATTGTCCACATTGCCATTGAATAATGCATTTTGTAAAACAAAATTCATTGATTCTCTTCCCCTGAAAGGAGAAAAAAATATTCAAAGTTTCAGATAATCCATTTAAAAAAACATTTATCATTTTAGCAATTCAGTGTTCTTTTCTTTGTTCCTAAAAAATATTTCTTTGTTAAATTATTCACAAAAAATTGTCCTAATTTTTAAACCATTAAGATATAGAGAATCTTTGGTCTCTTTCCAATTTTTGAAAAAATGGAAGGTGAACAGACCTTTGATAAAGTAATAAGTTTTAAACAGAATTAATGAAAGGTTATTATTAAAAGGCTGTCGGATCCCTATTTGATTTTAAAACATCATCATACTAAAAATGAAAAAAAAATTTTAATGCAAGATTAAGATGGGATGGATTCAGTTCTATACAAAAAAGGCAGGAAGACCTCAATCAAATTTATTGTTATGAAAGTTTGAAAAAAAATTTACAATTCCCAACGGAACGCAAACAGTCACAGATTTTTCAAGAACTGTGTTTTCACTT